ATTTTTATGATTATGAAGTGGCTTTTTTATTTCTGCTAATCATAGTTAAAGTCATTTTATCTTTGTATTAATTTAGTTATAGCAGTTTGTGTTGGTAGCTTTGTTCCTGGTATTTCAGTTTTAGTTATTTATTTTCAATTTGTATTTGTCCTTCAGTTTTATAGTTGTTCCCTCTGCATGGCTGTACTGACATAAGGGTTGGGAGTTGAGCCTTTTCACCCCCAATCTGAAAGCCCCACTCTTTTAAATAATGGAGTTGTCTCATTTGCATTTGCTGATATTACTTACATATTTAAATTGATTTCTGCTATTATTTGTTTCTTCTATTTATTATATATTTTACTGCTACATTTTTAAATTTTTTCTTCCTGTTCTTTCTTTTCTCATTTGAAAATTATATATTTCCCACTATCTTAGAGGACAATCTAAAATTTGAGCACGTGTCCTTTAATTAACACTGTCTAAAGTAGTCAGAATACATAACCTCTCTTCTCAAAGAATTAAAAAATCATAAACTATTTTAGCTCTAACCTTACCCTATTTTGCATGTTATTATTTGGTAAGTTAATGATACCTTATTGTAAATGCTCTTAATGTAGTTATTATTGTCATTTGGTTTGTTTATAGTAAATGTCTGTTTAAATCAACCAACATGTTGAATAATTTCTCCCCACACAATGGTATTTGGTCTCATCCCTTTATTTCAACTCTGTATTCTTAATACTAAAGCATTTCTGTTAACTGTAATTTCAGTGGGAATACAATAGGTAAAATGCCCTGTTTTCCACCTGAAATTTTCTTATTTCACCATCATTTATGAAATACATAAATGACTAAATACAGAATTTAAATTGACAATAGTTTTTTTCCCTTGGCATTGAGAATATATTATTTCATTGCCTGTGAACTCTGTATTTACTGCTAAAAACTTGAGATCACTTTTTTCTTTATATATAATTAGATACGCTCTCTCCTCCTTCCTCCCTCTCTCCCTCGCTGTCTCTCTTTCTCCCTCCCCCACTCCCTGCTGCTCTCCCACTCCTATGCTCTTGCTATTATCATTACAGATATTAAAACTTTTCTACAATATTTTTATGTGTTCATTTGAGTTTATTTGTTCTGTAAGAATTCAGTTTTTTAAAGAAGATTCTGAATATGTCTTTGCCATTGTATATGCAGATAATGCTTCTCCTGGATTATCTCTTTCTGGAGTTTTTGTACCTCTATCTGTCTTTTGTGTCATTTGGGTTCTCTTCATTATTTTCTCATTTCATCTTTGCTAAACATTTTATAATTTATTCTAATCAATTTTCTATCTACTATCTCTCCAACTCTGTCAATGTACTTTATCTATTTACTTTTTAATTTCAATGATTACATATTTCCTTCCAGACATTCTATTTACTTCTAATTAAAATCTTTATGTCATTTTATGGTGTTTTAAGATTATTGGTGTCTCATTACCTTCTTTTATAGCTAGAATTATTTAAAACATTTTTTCAGTCTCTAATAGTCATGAACAACATAATACAGAATATCAGTCTCTTCTGAGTCCTTATACAGTGAGAAATAAGATAAATCAGAGACAAAATGTCACACTTTAATACATGAATCTTGTGATGAAGACACAAGCATAACTTAAAAATGGATTTTCTAATATTTCCTACTATGTGATTAATAGTTTTTGATCTGCTCAACAGGCTCACCACTCCCTCTAGTGGCAGAGAACTTGCTTCCCATAGGCAAGCCACCATTATACAAGAAAAAGCTATCCCCAGTCATGTAGGGAGAAGAGCACAGCCAGGTGATGGCACTAATGTCCTCCACATGGAAGGAAACATCAGGAGCAGGGGATGAGTGTCCACTCCATGCTCCACAATAGTCTTCTGTAAATTCACAGTCTACTAGCAGAAGTTGTTGAGGTCAGATGTTTTCATTTGTTGGATATAATACCTCCCATTCATCAATTTTCACTTATTAATTATTCCTAATCATAAAATCTGCAAGAACAAGTTCCAATTAGAACCAGTCAGCATGAGCCAAAGTAACTTGTACTTTACCATGCACAGTGGGGAATTGGAAGTCTGATGCAGTCCTGTTGACAGTTAAAAATCAAGAGGTGGACCTGGGCAGTATTCTCTGGAAACTCCCCTGGTACCTCCAATAAAACCAGAGAGCGAGAGGCATACCATACTTCTCCTCTTAAAGATCATGGTTTCTCTATTGGCAGTGTCATTTTTTTTCCATTTTAGTCCATGACTATTTGAACAACATGTCTGAAAACTTTTTTTGGCATAATTGCAAGAACTGGTAACCAAGGATCACCATGGTTATCTCAGTGTTGCAGCAGACTCTGCCTCTGTAACAAGGCATAATGTAAATCAGTGTGGAGGTTCACCAAAACCTAAAAATAGAACTGTCATATAATCCACCTCTACCACTCTTCAGTTTTTATCTGAAAGAATTAAATCAGTATACTTCAGAGACACAGGTATACTCATATTTATCACAACACACAATTCACAATAGTTATGGAATCAGGCTAGGTGTCCATCAACAGAAGAATGGATAAAGAAGAGACAGTATATATGCATAAGGGAGTTTTATTCAGCCATAAGAATAAAATTATATTTTGCAGGAAAATTATGGAGCTAACAGCAGCAGGTTAAGCACAATATGTCAGACTCAGAAAGACAAGTTTTATTTTCATATGTGGAAACTAAAAGGGAAAAAAAAAAGGACATCATGAAAGTACAACAGAGACTCAGAACAGAGGAAGGAAGTTGGGGAGAGAGATGAAAGGATGGTAATGGGACGTAGTGAGAAGTAAAACTGATCAAATTATGTTATATGTATGCATGGATATGCCACAATGAAAGTCACTGTTCTGTGTAACTAATGTACACAAATTAAAAAAGGAAAGGGAAAGTGACAATATGATGTAATATTGAGCTACAATTTGC